AACGTCAAAATTGAAACATTTCCGGTGAATAATGTCTCTAAAATCATCAAAATACCGAAAAATCGGGAGGTACCGTTATATGGGGGCTGTGGGAAGACGTGGACCTGTATAGACGATTTTCTGCCTTGGGCTGTAGTATTCACTACGAACTTCAAATGCCAAATTTGAAAAAATTCCGGTGAATAATGTCGCTAAAATCATCAAAATACGGAATATCGGGAGGTACCGTTATATGGAGGCTAAATGAAATCGTGGACCTGCACAGACAATTTTCTGTCTTAGACTGTAGTATCCATTTCGAACTTCAAATGCCAAATTTGAAACGATTCCGGTAAATAATGTCGCAAAAATCATCAAAATACCGAATATCGGTAGGTACAGTTATATGGGGGCTATAAGAAGACGTGAACCTGCATAGACGATTTTCTGCCTTAGACTGAAGTATCCATTTCGAATTTCAAATGCCAAATTTTAAACTATTCCGGTGAATAATGTCGCTAAAATCATCAAAATACCGAATATCGGGAGGTACCGTTATTTGGTGGCTATATGAAAACGTGGACCTACATGACGAACTTAACCTGCCTAGTGGCAAAATAAACATGTGTGCAAAATTTTAACCTTCTATCTCAATTCGTTCGAAAGATTGATCGTGATTACAACAGACAGACAGAGAGACGGACAGACAGACAGACAGATAGACGGACATGGCTCAATCGTCTTAGAATTTCACGCTGATCAAGAACTTTGTTGGGTCTGACATGAATATTTCGAGGAGTTACAAACAGAATGACAAAATTAATATACCCTCCATACCAAGGTGGAGGGTATAAAAATTGTGATCAGCAAATGGGATAACATGCCCTATCGCCATAGTTCCATAATGTCGTAATAAACTACACTGATATTCTCTCAATATATGCCCCCCCCCCCCTTTTCACCCATCTCGTTCAATTGTGCGTATACTTGTTGTCACAATGTATACGCACCATGGTACCACCATCGCATAATAATTGAAATTCTTTGAAAAGTTATTATTTTATTTTTTTTTGCGTGGAAAATATTGATATTTCAATGCAATCTCTGGTTATGTGACTGAATAAGTGGCAAAAATTCAATACGCTACTATGGGATTATGTTACCTTAATGTGAATATGACAATGATGTCCATACGTACGAACATACATATGTATCTATCTACATATTGATGTTGGAATAAATTTCCTTTTCCAATAAAAATAATTTGTTTTTGCTGATTATGATTTTGACAATGAGATTGGAATAGGTTGTTGGTGTTGTTGTTGTTTTCTCTCCTCTCATATCTCGTTTGTTTGTGTAGATTGAATATCACCATGACCTGACTTTGTTGTTGACTGGCTGATGAATTCAGAATGTTGGGAGGTGTTCCCTGGCATAACAAAAGCAAAAAAAAAAAAAAAAGAAAAAACAAACACACACACATAGTTACAACATATTCCCAACAAAATAGTATATTTAATTTATTTTTGAAAATAATTTTTTTTCAAGCCATAACTATAAGGGACTATTCTCGATTTTTGAGAATATTTTTGGAAGTCTATTCTAGATTTTGAATACTGGTTTATCAGGATTATTTTAACATTGAATTCATGTGAAATTTGAAAAAAAAAAAACTTAGAATCGTTTTCAAAAAAATATAAAGAATAATAGTTGTAGATTTGTTTACAGTATCATATTCAGGGCAAGCAAACTTCAGAGTAAGATGAAAAAACTCAAGCAACTGCAAGCAACTTTGCTGTCATCTTAAAGCCACTCGTCCGACTGCTGTTAAAATTATTCCAGTGACAGCTCATTATATTGTTAACAAGCGCACAAAAGAATTTTGGCGAGAATTTTCCAGAAAAAAAACTTATTCGTGGCAGAATTCAACCGTGATAGTGTGATTTCTTTATGGCTGGACAACCACTGGCTGGCTGGCTATCGCGGATCGCTTTTGATACAAACAAAACTGCAACAAAGTCAAACACCATAATTTGTACATTTCTTTTTTAAATTTTATTAAATGAAAGCAAAAAATTTGGGAAAATAGCATCAAATTTTAGAATAAGTTTAGTTTTGTTCGTATGGGTCAACTTTGGCACGAATTATGGCCTTCAAACGACCAATGAAACCATCACACTCGGCCCGAATGTTTCTCTGCGGTATTCTGGCACATTCCCGGCGAAACGCTTTACTTGAGGTGATCGACACTTTGGTATGTTTTTAATGCCAACATTGCTTTCCAAAATAATTCAGAACCAATAGTTCAACGGATTGGTATCCGGAGATTTTGGTGGCCATTGTGCGCTGGAAATGAAGCGAGGAACCTAATTTTGTAACTATTCTTGGGTGGCGTGTGTTGAGTCCTGTTGGAATGTCCAAGGTTTGCGGCCAAAATGTTTGCGTGACCAAGGCTTTAATACACACTTCAGAATATTTTCGCGACAATATTCGGCGTTTATTCTGATGCCACGGTTGATTAATAAATTAATTAATAAATTAATTTCGGGATAATAAATGGCATTTAATTAATACGAGCGGAGAGCGAGCATCGGCTGTTATGGCGGCCCACACCATCACCATTGCCGGCGCTTGAGTTCTGGTGGCCAACCGAAGGTGAACATTTTCAGCTGACCTCTTTGGCAAGTAAACACGATCATTTTGTTTTCTAATTCGCCAGTTCACCGCTTTCGGCCAAGTGAAGTAACTCTATAGCTCTTTTTTGAGTCTATTTTCTTTCGGTTGCGGTGTAAGTTCTTGCACTTTTTGGAATTTCAATGGCTTTACCCCGAGCTCATAAGTTCATATGTAGCGATATGTTCAGCTCACGAGCCATTTTTCGGCCACTGCAATGCGGGTTTCGATCAAGTCGCTTCTTTACTTTTCGAACCATTTCTGCTGATGTTGCTGTTTTCTTCCGTCCACTTTCTTGACGTAGGGTTACGCTACCAGTACAACGCTAACGAGCGACGATACGAGACACAGAAAATTTATTCACATTTAAATGCTGGAGAGCTTTAACGATAGCCACTTGTGGTTTTCCAGCCAAATATAAAGAAATCACGCGTGAATTCCATCACGAATAACTTTTTTTCTGGAAAATTCTCACCAGATTGCTCTTGTACGCTTGTAAACAATTTAATGAGCTGTCAATAGAATAAATTTAACAGCTGTCTGACGAGTGGCTTAGAAATGACAACAGTCTGAAGATGGCTGCAGTTTTTTCATTTCACTCCGTATATCATTTGATGCGGCCAAAAGGTGCCTCGTCGAAATAACTTTTTTAGACCCTAGGTCTTTTTCGACCAAATCTGTGTCAGGACATGTGGAGTCAATCTAGCGATGTCCGTCGGTCTGGTTGGCTGGAGCGCACGACATCTCTTGAAAGGGGTATCTGTCAAATATCGTTCCACACCTTCTGCTACATCTCCCACAAAAGGTCGAAATTTTCAAAAAAAAAAAAAAAAAAAAAAAAAAAAAACTATTTTTCTACACAGAAAAAGAACGGATAATCCGATTTTGAACCAAGTTTGTAAATCCTAAAATTTACATCAGTGCGAAAATGGACAATATTGGTCCACTCCCTCAACCACCTCCCCCACAAAAGGTAAAAATTTTGAATAATTGTAACTTTTTTAAAATAGTATGTGTGTGGTTTTCCAATTACACTCGTCACATTATTTTGGTTATCCCAAGGCCTGGTGTTAAGATGGAATATATTGGTTCACTCTTTTTGGAAATTTATAAAAGCCGAAACTTACACCTGATTCCATTCAATATTTCCATCATAAAAAGATATTTTATAAAGATGATAGAGGTCGGACCATTTTTTTTCTGATACGACCCCCCCCCCCCCCACATAGGGTTCACTCACGTTTTATAAGAGTTGTAAGTATTCAAAATTTTGACGCTTTGTGCGGAGGTACTTGATGGAGTGGACCGATATTGTCCATTTTTACACCCGACCTATTACTGACGCAAATTTTATGATTTGCAAAGTTGGAGCAAAATCGCTTTGTTCTTTCTCTTTTTTGTGCAAAAAAAATATTTATTTGAAAATTCCGACCTTTTTTGGGGGAGGTACCAGAAGGATTGGACCGATAGTGCCCATCTCCGAACTCGATCTTAGTTTGACAAAAATATTACGATGTACCCAATTTGAACCAAATCAGATACTTCCTTCGAGAGTTATCTATCAGATAGACGGACGGACGAACGGACGAACATCGCTAGATCGACTCCAAATGTTCTGAAACGGATTTGGTCCAAAGAGACCTAGGGTCTAAAACCGTTATTTCGACTAGACACGTTTTGACCTATCAAATGATATATACCCTCTCTAGCCACATGGCTGAGGGTATAAAAAGAACAGAGTTTGGCATTTATTTGTGGGGATATCACACCTATTTTGTGTTTTCAATTAGTCAGGCGTAATCTGTTCTTTGTTTTGTTTTTTTCTATGAAAATATGTAACACTCTTAAAAAATGTGTTAAAATTCTCTTTAAACCGGTCCAATGGGTCGTTTACATACTGCCGTGATGTATACGTCCTTGAGTTTAGTCATGAAATTTAAATATCGAAGAAAAAAATTCCTGACCGCTTTCATTTCATTTCAACTCGTACTTAAGCAAAAAATAAATACTTACCAACCTTTTTTCAGATATACATTTTTTTTGCAAAATGCAATTGAGAACAACTTAATTTAAATACTTTATTTGTAATTTTTTAATTCGATTTTTTTACATCCATCTGTGGCATTAGTGGCATATTTTCATGCTGTTATTATTGCATCTTTTTTTTGGCTTTATTAAAAACTGCGACGTTATTCTGCTGAAGGGCTATTTCGATTATTATTATATTGCATTTCATTAATTATCTATTGTACAGAATTTTTTTTTTTGGAATCTGTTGTCTATGGCAACCGAACGAACAGCTACTCATTGGTTTTCCCATCTCTTATGTTTTTGTTTTTTGCTTTCAGCATTCCATGCTGTATTTCTTCCATCATTACGAGCTGCCGGTAATTATGCAACAGGCCCAAGTACTCATATTAACACGTAATCAAAATGATGGTGGCGGCGGCGGTGGTGGAGCTCGTGTTGTTGGTGGAAATATTGTTGCCGGCATTATGCAACAGCAACCGCAACAACAGCAGGGACAACAGCCAAACAATCGCCAGGCTGGCGGTGGAGTGGGTGGCCAACAGCAGCAGCAACAACAACAACCACATCAGCAACAACAACAACAGCCGGGTACCTTTGTGGCGAATCGCATTTTCCGTTTGGTCCCACTACCCCAACAAATGCAACAGCAACAACAACAACACCAACTCAATGGTCAAATGCAACCACAACAACTGCCATTTGTTGGCGGTTTGTTACAACACTATGCCGGACAGAATGTTGGCGGTGCCCTTGGCATGATACGGCGGGCCCTGTCGGCCCGTGGCTGGCGCCAGCCACCCATACGGGTGCGCATCCAAACAACAGGTAATTTGCAACGCATCAATTTGGGTTCCATACAAATAAATCCGGAGAATTTGGCGGCACGTGTCCCAGCAACAACATCAACGCCCAACACAACTGTGGTAACAACATCATCGTCATCATCGACGTTGTCCTCGTCACAGACAACAGCCAATGATGCCTCATCCACATCATCACAACAAACCACAACCGCAGATCCAGCTGAAAGTGGTACATCGAGCAACAATAGCTGCAGTTCAAATCTGAATGACAACTCAACAAATAGAATTGTTGTAACTGGTTCGGGCTCGGGCGGTAGTGTGTCCTCAGTCCAGCCAGTGAGTTGTGAGAGTTTATCATCAACAGCGTCATCAACCTCATCGTCGACGGCGTCATTAACAACCGCCAATCCAGCGACAGCATTAAAAAATATCCCCAATATTATTGAGGGCAGCGGTTCAGTGCAACAAAATGGTAAGTTTAAGTGAAGGGTGGGGGGAAAGAGTGTTTTTGTTGGAAGCCACAGCTTTGAGAGATATTTAATATTCTAGAAATAGTTAATGGATTTGCAACAGGTTGCATTTCTGGTTTAGTTTTGTGAACACCATTTCAGGGCAAATTATGTTTGGTAGAGACTTCGGTTAGAGAGTCCCACATTGATAGGAGTCTAGGAGACCCAGTTCCCCAGAACTCCTAAGGCACACCGAGTTATTTTATAGAGGGAGAGGGACACCGGAATGTCTTTGGTAGAAGAGGTTTTTAAAATATTTTGCCGATGGGAGGCCAGATTTTATATTATTTTAGACTCGAGAGACTCTTACCGAAATTAATAAATTTATAGCATACTTTTAGACGCTTCACAGGCATCTTTTAAATGAATAGAAACACTATAATATTATATAACTTAATATAATTATACTTTTTCTATGTTTCATTTATGGTATTTTTATACCCTCCACCTTGGAAAGGAGGGTATATTAACTTTGTCATTCCGTTTGTAACATCCGTAAATATTCGCCGTAGACCCCATAAAGTATAAATATTCATAATCGGCATAAAATTCTAAGTCGATTTAACGATGTCCGTCTGTCTGTACGTCTGTCTGTACGTCTGTCTGTCTGTCTGTCTATCTATCTGTCTGGCTGTCTGTCCGTCTGTCTGTTGAAATCACGATACAGCCCACATTATTTGACTTAGAGCGCCAAAATTTAGCAGAGCAATTGGTATTGTGTCTAGGATGGTTGGTATTGAAAATGAGATATATCGGTCCACGTTCTGGTATAGTCCCCATATAACGGTACCTCCCGATATTCGGTATTTTGATGATTTATACCACATTTTTTCACGGATTTGTCTGAAAATTGGTATATGTGTGTGTTATAACGGGTCCCTGTACGTTTGGCAAAACATTGCATGTATAGGTCCACGTTTTGGTATAGGCCCCATATAATGGTACCTCCCGATATTTGATATTTTGATTATTTTTGCCACATTTTTTTAACGGATTTGTCTAAAAATTGGTAGTTGTAGATCATAATGAGTCCCAGTTCGTGTGGCGAGTCATTGTAATTATGGGTCCACGTTTTGGTATAGACCCCATATAACGGTACCTCCCAATATTCGGTATTTTGATGATTTTTGACTCATTTTTCACGAATTTCTCTGAAAATTTGGTAGTTGTAGATCATAATGGGTCCCAGTTCGAGTGGCGAGTCATTGTAATTATAGGTCCACGTTTTAGTATAGCCCCCATATAACGGTACCTCCCGATATTCGGTAATTTGATTTGATTTTTGCCACATTTTTTCACTGATTTGTCTGAAAATTGGTATTTGTAGATCATAATGGGTTCTAGCTCCGTTGGCGAAACCTTGCATGTGTAGGTCCTCGATTTGGTATAGCCCCCATATAACGGTACCTCCCGATATTCGGCATTTTAATGGTTTTTGCCACATTTCTTCTAATGTTTCCTTTACCCTAAGGTGGAGGGTATTAAAAGTTTGGCCTGGCCGAACTTAATGTGTTTTTTACTTGTTGTATAATTTATTATCAACCGGTTTTGTCGATAGATGAATAGCCCCAGCCTTGAGTTATGATTTTTCAAACTTTTGACCATTTATGGGGCCTGTAAAGAATCGCCGACTTATTTCGCAAGTTATGTCAGATAAATATATTGAAAATTGTGACTCTTTGTGGGTTAAGTACCAGAAGTGGTTCGCAGATATATATCATCAGATGTACCAAGGCTGAATGGAAACGGGTGTTAATTTTGCGTTTTATGAGCTTCATGAATATTCAAAATTTTAAACCCCTTGTGGGGGAGGTATCAGAAGGAGTGGACTGATATATCCCATCTTCACAGCAGATTTTCAGTTAGTAGAAATAATGGGATGTGTAAAATATAAAGAGAACTGGATACTTATTTGGGATTTTATAATCGTTTTGGTTATTCAAAACTTTGACCCTTCGTGGGGGAGGTATCAGAAGAAATTGTCCGATCACTTCCATCTTTATTACAGGTCTTGTGTTGATGGAAATATTGAGATGTTCCAATTCTGAATGGAAACGGATCTTAATTTCGCGTTTCATGAATTTCATGGATATTAAAAATGTTGACCCTTTGTGGGGGAGGAGTGGACCCATCTTCGCACGAAATAATTAATTAAAAATTTAATTAATTAAAATATTTGGATGTGTATAATTTGAAGGCAATTGGACTCTTATATCACATTTTATAAGAGTTATTTTTTTTTCAAAAATTTGACCCTTGGTGTGGTAGGAACTTGGTGGAGTGGACCGACATTTTCCATTTTCGCACCTGACCTAGCACTGATGCAAATATTAGGATTTCCAAAGCTGGAGCCAAATTGGATTACCCTTTACCTTTCTGTGTATTAAATAATTTTTTTTTTGGAAATTTTGATCTTTAGTGGGGGAGGTACCAGAAGGAGTGGGCCGACATTAAGACTACGATGTACCAAGTTTGGATCAAATCGGATACTCCCTTCGAGAGTTATTGGGCGCACTAGCCAGATTGACACACAGACGGACGGACGAACATCTTTAGATCGACTCCAAATATCCTGAAACAAATTTGGTAAAAAGAGACCTAAGGTCTAAAATAGTTTTTTCGTTGTGGCACGTTTTGGCCGTATCAAATGATATATACCCTCTCTCTAGCCATATGGCTGAGGGTATGTTAATTTCTTTGAAATGTTTTCACTAGATAGATGGCCTCTAAAAGCTCGTCCTCAGATAGAAGACCTCTTCCTCGTTGTCTTTCATACATAGTTTATCATTTGATGGTCTTTAATTGTTTTCCCTTTTAAAGATCTTAGGAGGCTTCTATAGATATGAGAATATCTGTACAGTAGTCGTCCCTCTACTTTGTTTTTCATACATGGAATTTCATGGAAGTCCTCTTTGCGACATAGACAAGTTTCTAAACCTTGTAGGATGATATATGCCTTACATAGATACAATTTTTTGAAGCTAAGACTACATAAAACGCTTTTTTGACTGGCTTATGTCATTGGCTAGCTTTTTCGTAGGATTTTGTTTTAGGAGTTTTAGAATGATTAGGAGGATTCTTATTCACCCTACACTCTTTTGTTCAGCCGATGACTGAAGCCAGTCAAAGAAGCGTATTATGCATTCTCAGCTTGGTTGATTTCCAACTTTGCATTCTAGTTGAAGAACTTGCCAATTCTCAAAGCATACTTTAAGGAGTATTTTTTATTCTCTTAGAATTTAGTTTTATGAATTCTCACCTTGGTTGATTTCCATCTTTGCTTTGTTGTTGAATAACTCGCCAACTCTCAAAGCATACTTTTAGGGGTAATTTTATTCTCTTAGAATTTAGTCAAATATCGACCTCTTGGAAATGGTGTAACCACCGGGGATTTATTCTAATTAAGTTTTATTCCATTAGCTATAGCACATTTGGCTTTCATTTACGATTCGTCGTTGCGGGACTACAATTTGAAATTCTAAAGAGTTTTAAGAATTTAGAATTCGCAATTTGACTCCTTCTCACGCACTCTCACTCTCTTTACTTCTTTACAGGTGGTAGCAGTGGTAACAGTGATGATGTGGTTCAGGTTGAGGATTGCGCCAAAAGCGAAACAACATCAGCAACACTCTAGACGTTGGCGGAGTAGCAAAGATGAAATATGATGGGCGATTCAAATAATGCAAGACCACCGTCAAAAGAGGCGCCAACAGGAATACAACCAGCAAGCATCACAACACATACAAACAAACTATGTTTTATACAGAAATATGATATAATGAATGTCGAGCAGATGTTTAGTGGAAAAAATAACAAATGAAATAAAAAAAAGAAAAGAAGAAGAAAAAAATGCTCTAATACGAAAGACTTATTGTAGAAGAAGAAAACTAAAAAAAAGAAACAAGAATGGAATGTTTCCATAAAATTTCCAGCTAAACCACCCCCCCAGAAAAAACGCCGCCAAGCCCTGTTTATTTTTTTAAGTTTTTAATTTATTTTATAGATTCCTTGAAAATGGAATATTACACCCCCCACAATTGGCATTGTATGTATAATTTTTATGTTTTTAATTTTGCTTTATAATATTATAATAAAGAATACGCCTTACAAATGTAATTAACTCGATCTCAAATGACGAGAGAAAAGTTGTCACCTATGAAAAAGAGGAAGAACAAGAAGAAAAAAGTTATTGAATGAAATCCATATGTGTTATATTTTCAAAATGTCGTTTTCTTTTTTGTTTTAGTTTTCGGATTAATCTATGGCAGGTAATATGCTTTTGATAAAAAAAAAACAAAAAAATCATGACAGGAACTTTAATTTAAATCAAGATTCAAAATTGTTAAACAAATAAATATAAAAAACAAATACTGTATGTGTAGTATTTATATATGTCTGGTCAATGCAGATGAACATCGATTCTACGTAAAAAAAAAAAAAACGAAAAACAAAAATAATAAATAAATGAAATAAAAGGAACAACTAAACGGAGTTTTTAATGGAGGTTAGGTAATTTAAATTAAAATAATTTAGATTCGGAAATCGCATGAAAATGAGATAATTAATTAATTTGTTAACTTTTCAAGTTTGTTCGCAAATATTATCATTACTCATTGTTTCTTCATCTTCATTTACAGGGTGAGATGAAAAAAACTGCAACAAAGTCAAACACCATAATTTTAACATTTATTTTTTTTTTTTAATTTTATTGAATGAAAGCAACAAATGTCGGAAATAACATCAAATTTTAGAATAAATTTCGATTTGCCCGAATTGGTCACCTTTGGCACGAATTATGGTCTTCAAACTGCCAATGAATCTGTCACATGCTGCCCGAATGTTGCTCTGCGGTATTTTGGCCCATTTCCGGCGAAGCGCTTGCTTGAGGTAATCGACACTTTGGTATTTTTAGTGCCAACCTTGATTTCCAAAATACTACAGGCACAATAGTCCAATGGATTGGTATCCGGAGATTTTGGTGGTGGAAATGAAGCGAGGAACCTCAATTTGTAATCATTCTTGGTTGGCGCTTGCGATGGTGCAGAGTTCCTATGGAATGTCCAAGGTCTGCGGCCAAAATGTTTGCGTGCCCAAGGCTTTAATACACCCTCCACAATATTTTCGCGATAATATTCGGCATTTATTCGCATGCCACGATCGATTAATACGAGCGGAGAGCGACCATCGGCTGTTATGGCGGCCCACACCATCACCATTACTCCTCCCCAGCATGAGAGAGTGTTTCCCAGTAGCCGATCATCAACACGGATTCCGGAAATTGCATAGCACAACAACAGCTTTACACGCCATTTCCACACATGTCAGTAGAGGTCTCAACCAGAACAGGCAGTTATGGTGGCACTTGATTTATCAAAAGCCTTTGATACAGTCAATCATGCCACACTGTTCGAGGACATTGAGCGCACCACCCTCCGGCCAAGTTTGAAACGTTGGATAGTGATATCTCCGGAACTGTTTAACCTCTACCTTTCTGAAATTCCACGCCCTCCAGACGGCATAGTGATTATAACGTACGCAGATGATTGTACGCTCGTGGCGTCCGGACCCATTATTGATGACATTTGCGATCGGTTAAACGCTTACCTTGTTGATCTTACCGCCTTTTTCACTGCGAGGAATATGAAGATATCCGCCACTAAGTCGACGGCCACACTTTTCACCACATGGACTGCGGAGATGGGGCTATCCTTGAATGTGCAGGTCGATGGTGCTATTATTCCGACAACCAACTACCCCAAGTTTTTAGGGGTCACATTCGATAGCCTCTTTAAGTCGTCCGCGCATACCACAGCTATCTGCGACAAGATTAGAAGTAGGAACAAGGTCCTCAAGTCTCTGGCCGGCAGTACTTGGAAAGCTGATAAGGAAACCTTGTTGACCTCTTACAACGCGATAGGCCGGTCTGTGGTAAACTATGCGGCTCCAGTGTGGTCCGCCAACGTCAGTGCTACGCAGTGGAAAAATGTTCAGTCCTGCCCGAATGCCGCCCTTAGAACCGCAACAGAGTGCCTTCTCATGACACCTGTCGATCACCTACATGAGGAGGCGAAGGTCTTACCGGTGCGACAGCATAACAAAATGCTGTCAATGCAATACCTGCTTGGGTGTTATAGACAAAGCCATCCAAATCACCATCTTGTGGATAGGCAACCTCCGCCCAGGCACGTTAGGAAAGACCTTCATGATCTAGAGAGAGAGGTACAGAGGTATAAGAGATAGCCTCTAGATTAACAGGCCTATCAAGCGGGACTGAATAGTATTCACTCTAATGCGGTCTCAGAAGCCATTGAAGGATATAGAGTGAATACTTTGCTAGGAGACCATCCCCCTCCCGTCGCAGCTGAAGAACGAGAGCTGCCCCGACAAACCCGAGTAGTCTTGGTTCAATTACGATCCGGATGGTGCAGCCGCCTAAATTCCTACTGGGCCCGGATCAACGGCGACGTGCAGAACATCTGCCCTGCATGTGGCACAGGCCCACATGACACGCTGAACTTATTTCGCTGCCCAGCCAAGCCTACTCACCTAACTCCAGTCTAGTTATGGACACAACCCATACAGGTTGCATCCTTTTAGAGACTGGACTTAGAGGCAGAACCTGATTGAACTGAGTCAGAAAATGGAAACCGAAGGAACACAGATGTATGAGCTGCTACAACAACAACAACCATGGCCGGCGCTTGAGTTCTGGTGGCGAACCGAAGGTGCACATTTTCAGCTGACCTCTTTGGCAAGTAAACAGGATCATTTTGTTTGTTTATAAACTCCTTGACAACGAATGTTTTCTCATCGGAGAAAACCAAATTCGGCAGTTCACCACTTTCGGCCAGGCGAAGCAACTCTTTAGCTCCTTTGAGTCTTTTTTCTTTCTGTTGCGGTGTAAGTTCTTGCACTTTTTGGAATTTTAATGGTTTTACCCCGAGCTAATTTTTCAAAAATTGCCGAATGGAATATTGCGATATGTTCAGCTCACGAGCCATTTTTCGGTCACTGCGACGCGGGTTCGAACCATTATTGCTGATGTTGCTGTTTTCAATCGTCCACTTCCTTGACATATGTCGGGCTACGCTACCAGAATCACGGTAACGAGCGATGGTACGAGACAAAAAAGGACAGCCACTTGTGGCTTTCCAGCCAAGCATAAAAATCACACTATCACTATCACGCTTGAATTGTGCTCCCTCACAAATAACTTTTTTTCTGGAAAATTCTCACCAAAATGCTTTTGTACGTTTGTAAACAATTAAAATAAAATTATTCCAGTGACAGCACATTATGTCACTGGAATAATTTTAACAGCTGTCGGACGAGTGGCTTAGAAATGACAACAGCCCGAAGTTGGTTGCAGGTTTTTCTTCTCACCGTGTATTGTATCCTCTTCCTCTGTAGCTAGAAACAAAAAACAACAAATATTTAATAACAACATAATTGTGGTAATCATCACTTCCCATGTAATGTCTTAGGGATTTTTTTCTCCATCATAAATTTCATCCAGCCCTTTTTGTCGTCGTTTGTGTTATTATCAACCTCAAGCATCCTTGCCAATGTATTTTTTTCACCATCCACAAGATCAACCTTAACTGACAAATAAAGTGAACATAAATAAACTCCACTGGGCGGCAGGGTTGTAAAAATATTCGCATTCATCTGTGAAATTATTTAAAAAGAACTGAGGAGAGCAAAAAAAAAAAGGCAACAAAATGCGGAGGTACAAGTGCAAAAAATCATCTAAATGGAGAAGAAAAAAAAAAAAAACACTGTAAAGAGAACTACTTTCATTAAAGTTGGCTTAAGTTGGTTTGCAGGATGGTGATGATGATGAGTTACATTGGTACAGTGATAATCAGATGATGTTTTTTTTTTTTTTTTTTAAATTAATAATGTTAATAAGAGACTACGTAAAAAATCATTTTTTCTATAGGTGACCTATGGAGGGATTTTTTTTCATGGAAAACCCGAAGAAGCAGTTTAAGATCGATGGAAGAACTTGTATTTCTAGAAGACCCTCTAGAAATACAAGTTATGTTGCGGCTTTAGCTATTACAGCACATCTATGTAAGTTATGCCACCTATTCAGATTCCTGAATGAGTTAAAAAGTGTCAGTCAGTTTTGCCGAAAGATTTATGCCCTCAGCCAATGTTCGATTATTTAAATATATTTTGACTTCTGTTATGATGGTTTAAATGGTTGACCCTCTATGTACTAGATTCCTAAGGAATGAGCCAATATTCTCCATTTCGTTTCGGACCTAAATAAATATGATATAATAATTATTGCGAAGTTTGGACTATATCGACTACTTCCTTCACTTTAGATGTGATAATTTGTAGAAAAAAATTAAAATACGCGTGAGGTACAGTGTGACATAAAAAAATGGCAATCAACTTCAGGCTGCTGTCATTTCTAAGCCACTCGTCCGACAGCTGTTATAATTATTCCAGTGACAGCTCATTATATTGTTTACAAGCGGACAAAAGAATTTTCCAGAAAAAAAAAATTATTCGTGATGGAATTCAAGTGGCTATCGTAAGAGCACTCCAGCATTTAAATGCGAATAAATCTTATGTGTCTCGTACCATCGCTCGTAATCGTGACACTAGTAGCGTAGCCCGACGTCACGGAAGTGGATTGAAAAAAACAGCAACATCAGCAGAAATGGTTCGAAAAGTAAAGAAGCGGCTTGATCGATAACTGCGTCGAAGTGGCCGAAAAAAGGCTCATAAGCTGAACATATCGCAATATTCCATTC